AGGACGCTCTTCCCTAGGTGGTTGAGCCGTGGTGATGTGGTGCACGAGACCGCCAGTAGTAGTAGTAGTAGTAGTAGTAGTAGTAGTAGTAGTAGTAGTAGTAGTAGTAGTAGTAGTAGTAGTAGTAGTAGTAGTAGTAGTAGTAGTAGTAGTAGTAGTAGTAGTAGTAGTAGTAGTAGTAGTAGTAGTAGTAGTAGTAGTAGTAGTAGTAGTGTAGTAGTGTAGTAGTAGTAGTAGTAGTAGTAGTAGTAGTAGTAGTAGTAGTAGTAGTAGTAGTAGTAGTAGTGGTAGTAGTAGTAGTAGTAGCAGCAGCAGCAGTAGTAGTAGTAGTAGTAGTAGTAGTAGTAGTAGTAGTAGTAGTAGTAGTAGTAGTAGTAGTATAGTAGTAGTAGTAGTAGTAGTAGTAGTAGTAGTAGTAGTAGTAGCAGTGTTAGTCGTAGGTAGTCGTAGTAGTAATTGTAGTAGTAGTAGTAGTAGTAGTAGTAGTAGTAGTAGTAGTAGTAGTAGTAGTAGTAGTAGTAGTAGTAGTAGTAGTGGTAGTAGTGGTAGTAGTAGTAGTAGTGGTAGTAGTAGTAGTAGTAGTAGTAGTAGTAGTAGTAGTAGTAGTGGTAGTGGTAGTCGTAGTAGAAGTCGTAGTAGCAGTAGTAGTAGTAGTCGTAGTGCTATACTACAGGTACAGGCCTACTACAGTGCTGCCGCACCATGAATGCAATGCTGCTAAGGTAGGTCTAGGATGCTCCACTAGTAGAGCAGTACGATTATTACACTATTCCACTATCGCTGCTACTACTTCTACTACGCTAGTCAGTACTAAAGCGCAGCGCAATCGTATTATTATCACGTATTACAACACTACTTTTAAACAGGCCTCTAGTACTAGAGTGGTGCTACTTGATGTGGGCCCCCCCTGTGTCCCCCCGCAATTATGCGACGGGGGGTGGCGCAATCGAGCCGCAATCGGGCCCCTCAGGGCTGATGGTTGCTCCAATGGGTTCCTCATGGGGGAGGGGGGGGGGGGGGGGGGGGGGGGGGGGGCAAACAAGCAAGAATGTTTTTCCCCCCCCCCCCCCCCCCTGTCCCCCCCTCAAGCGGTTGCAAACCTCCTCCCCTGGTCACGAATCTGATTGTGCGAGGGGTCGCGCAATCGAAATCGTGACCAAGGGGCGCCCCCGCCCTCTCACAACGGCGCCCCACCCTTCCGCCCGAAGCCCCGGGCGCATCCCTGGCCATGCGTCGCCGACGCACGAGAGAATAGGGAGTCCAAACGGAAACGATTCAGGCAGAGCCCCACCCTCCAAGGGAAGAAAGCGAATGACGAACCCCAATTATCCTGGCGAAGGACCCAACCTTATGCAGTTGTGAGTATCGCAGTTGTGAATATATTCTTCGGTGGCGCTCCCTATGGGGCCACGAACCGCATGAGGGGCGTGCCGAAATGTGGCGGGGTACACAACGCAAAGGAATACGATAGATCTGACTTCGAAAGAAAGAACGCGGGTGAGTCAGAGCGCGAGGGAATCTGAGTATGAATGGGTCTGCGCGCGAATGAATATATTTGCATGAATTCGATCATGGAAACGCCTCGTGTAAGTGTATATGAATGTGAATGGTTCGAGCATGCCTGTCCGAACACACGTGACACTGGGCGTGGCCGCCGCAGGCAGCTTCCGCGGGAACCCCGACGGCAGCGTCCGCACGTCGCGACGCCCATGTCGGCACGCCTCTTGCGAGGATCGCGCCCGCTTTCGGCTCTTCTTTTCCTTCCTCTTTGCCCGCGCACTCCAAAATCCAAGGCTGCGGGCGCAGCGCAGCGCGGAGTCCCCGCGACGCGCGCTGGTCGCCCCGGGCGGGGTCCCAGCGACGCGCGCGGGTCGTCCGCTGCGCGAAGCAGAGAGAGCTGACTAGCTAACTGGCTGGCTGATAGCGGGCAAGTCTCTGACCGCTGGGCAGAGCGACGACGGGCGAACGAGGCGCCGGGCCCCCCGCAGCACGGAGTTCCCGCGACGCGCGCTGGTCGCCCCGAGAGGGTCCCAGCGACGCGCGCGGGTCGTCCGCGGCGCGAGGCCAAACAATTAGTCGGGCAGTCGAGAGAAGGCGCGGCTCGGGGGAGACGCTCCTCAGGTCAGGCCTCGCGGATGAACTCGGTGAAGCCGAGCTCCCTGGCGAGGGCCGTCGCTTCCCTCCTGCGCCGCTTCGTGCGCGCCGCAAACTGCTCCAGCTGCTTCCGCAAGCCCTGCGGCGGCCCTGCCAGGAAGAACTCGATGCGCGGCGCCCGCGTGAGCAGGAGGTCCTCGTGGCGCGTGGCGCGCGAGAGCAGCGCGTAGAATTCCAGCCACCAGTCGTCGTCCTCCTTCTTGCCGTTCCCTACCTCGTGGCGGCCGCAATCCAGGATCACGCCTGGGCGACGTCGACCGAGGGAGCAGCGCGCCGGGCAGCCGACGGCCCAGGGCGAGAGTCCACAGGACCGAGAGATGGTCTGGCCGCGGACTGCTCGCGCCCCGGAGGTCTGGCCGCCCCCGGAGCGCCGTTCCCCCGCCCCGTCGCCTTCGCGCATGGTGCGCCCCTGGCACGCCACCGTGGTGATGACCCTGCCGTGCGAGAAATGCGGGGGGGGGTGCCGAAATGGGTGGGGGTGACGCATGCGGGCGGCGGCACTGAGGCCTTCGGTGGAGCTCCCTATGGAGCCACGAAACGTGTGAGGGGTGTGCCGAAATGGGTGTGGGTGACGCATGCGGCCGCGGGCACTGGGGCCTTCGGTGGAGCTCCCTATGGAGTCGAAGCGTGTGAGGGGTGTGCCGAAATGGGTGTGGGTGACGCATGCGGCCGCGGGCACTGGGGCCTTCGGTGGAGCTCCCTATGGAGCCACGAAACGTGTGAGGGGTGTGCCGAAATGGGTGTGGGGACGCATGCGGCCGCGGGCACTGGGGCCTTCGGTGGAGCTCCCTATGGAGCCACGAAACGTGTGAGGGGTGTGCCGAAATGGGTGTGGGTGACGCATGCGGCCGCGGGCACTGGGGCCTTCGGTGGAGCTCCCTATGGAGCCACGAAACGTGTGAGGGGTGTGCCGAAATGGGTGTGGGGGACGCATGCGGCCGCGGGCACTGGGGCCTTCGGTGGAGCTCCCTATGGAGCCACGAAACGTGTGAGGGGTGTGCCGAAATGGGTGTGGGGGACGCATGCGGCCGCGGGCACTGGGGCCTTCGGTGGAGCTCCCTATGGAGCCACGAAACGTGTGAGGGGTGTGCCGAAATGGGTGTGGGTGACGCATGCGGCCGCGGGCACTGGGGCCTTCGGTGGAGCTCCCTATGGAGCCACGAAACGTGTGAGGGGTGTGCCGAAATGGGTGTGGGTGACGCATGCGGCCGCGGGCACTGGGGCCTTCGGTGGAGCTCCCTATGGAGCCACGAAACGTGTGAGGGGTGTGCCGAAATGGGTGTGGGTGACGCATGCGGCCGCGGGCACTGGGGCCTTCGGTGGAGCTCCCTATGGAGCCACGAAACGTGTGAGGGGTGTGCCGAAATGGGTGTGGGTGACGCATGCGGCCGCGGGCACTGGGGCCTTCGGTGGAGCTCCCTATGGAGCCACGAAACGTGTGAGGGGTGTGCCGAAATGGGTGTGGGTGACGCATGCGGCCGCGGGCACTGGGGCCTTCGGTGGAGCTCCCTATGGAGCCACGAAGCGTTGTCATGGGTGGGTGGAACGCAGGGAGGCGGGAGGAGAGGGGGGAGGAGGGAGGAGGGGGAGGAGGCAACGGGAGGAAGGAAGGAAGGAAGGAAGGAAGGAAGGAGAACGCGGGGCACCGTCTCTTCAAAACGAGGACCCAACACCACAGGATGGTTGGGAAAAAACGAAAAAGGAATAGCAAACCGAAAATTGTGAAATCGCAGGGGGGGGATTCGCCCCCGAGCCCTCTTGGGGCCCCTCGTTGGCTTAGCTTTCCTGCGGAGTCATCTGGATTTCGGGTCCCCTCATCTTCGTCGTCGTCCTTCCCTCTTTTCCTCTATTCGTCGTTCTTTCAGTTCCTCGTTGACCATCCCTCCACGCATCCGATTGTATCGTCTGCTGATGTTGTGTTCGGCCAGGGGGGTATTCCTCCCGCCTTCCTCCCACTTTCAGTTTTCTCCCATCGTCGTCAGAACTTCCTCATCCTTCTTTCTGTTCCATACTTTCTCTTCCCAGCCCTCTCTGCATCCATCCACATCTTCGACTGTTTCGTCCGCTGGTGATGTGCGCCTCGAGCGGTATTAGGTGCACGAGCGCATTTCCACAATCAATGTGTATAGCTATATTGTATTTGTCTGTTCACAGGAGGTAGTTTACATCAGCTGGTACCGCGCCAGCCCCAAACATGCCATCACATTTTACGTGCATCTGCTTGCTGTAAACTTTCTCTGTCATTATCATGACAGTTTGGCGAGTTATCGTCGTGGCCGGTTTGTGAATAACATTTCCCCCGCGGAGTCAGAGTTCAATCTCTTGGCGATGGCGCCAAGTTTTTTCCCATGGTTGATTGAAGACTGCGTGCGCGACGCGCTCAAGAGTACACAAGTGTTCGCAGCAACTGGCAAGGAATGTACTGCACCCGAGTTTGCGCATTTCTTGGAGCCGAGATGATGCGCGTGTTATCGCAACACGTATGACAGTACATCTGGTATTCCGAGCTTGCGCATCTGGGCGACATACATGCTTGTAATCCTGGGTGGGACGGTTGGTAACATCTGATCGAGCGCGCGTGTTTTTTTTCTGCCAACGTTCTACAACACGTAAGGAGCTTACCCTCGTATCATCGCGTGTATACGACACATTTCAGTTGCCTGGACTCTCAGCCTTCCAACCGATCGATGCCCTGAGGCATGGGCCCGTGGGGGTCCGCGGAGGTCTCCATTGGCCACCGGAGGCTCAGCATACGATCAAATTGCCCCCGAAGCCTTGAATTCCCCTTTCTTCGCTTCTTACTCCTCCTCTTCCTCCGCCTCCTTGCCCTCCTCCCTTCGCGCCAGATACCTGGGCGAATGTTCCCGGTGTCCGACTATTATTGGGAGGACGCCTGGCGCAGCCGACGCGTGGCCCAGCCTGGGCTCTGCCGAAGCAGTGCCTATGCCGCTCGGCGTCTGCGGCCGCGACTCCTGGGGGTTGTTCCGGGCCCCGCCGCCGGGCCCATTCCTTGATGCATGGGCGCCCTCCGGCGCCCGGAGGCGCCGGGAAAGTCAGCTACGTGAGCTGATTCTCAGTTCCCCCCTTTGCTATCCCCCTCTTTCGCCCAGCCCGGGTGTTGGGGTTTTTGATTTCGCGGGCGGGGGTCTCGGGAGCCAAGGAATCATTGCCGCGCACCGTACGCTTGGGCGAGGGAGGACTGCACGCCACGTCGTTGGGTCGGGGGATGGGTTTTTGGGAAGGGGGCCCAGGAGTTCTGTTATGTTGAGCGAGAGTTTCGCGCTTGCCAACGCTCCAGCGCGGCTTCTGTTTTTAACCTCTATCAGAGCCCTCCAGCGAAACGCTCTTAGGGAAAAAAGGCTCAACAGAGGCTTCCAGAGGCCACTGGAGTTCTCTGGAGGCTTCGGGCCAAGAACGCCATCCTTTCGATCTTCGAACCTCGAGCGTCGCTCAAGGGACACCTTGATGAGGAGGAGGATGGTGATGAGGAGCAAGAGGAGGAGGATGGAGGCGGAGGAGGAGGAGGAGGAGGAGAAGGACGAAGAGCAGGAGGAGGCGGAAGAGAAGGCGGAAGAGGAGGAGAGATGAGGAGAGATGAGGAGAGATGAGGAGAGATGAGGAGGATGAGGAGGAGTAACATCCGAAACTATCAGAACGCCCCAGAAATCTCCAGAAAATCTTCCAATATCTTCAAGAATCGTAGAAAACGGAGCGTGAGCAGGACGAGGAGGAGGATCATGGTGGCGCCATCTAAACTTGCGTGGTTCTCCGCGGGCGGTTGAGGCTGTCTTTTCGGGCGACGAGATCCAGCCACATCCACAGCCCATGGCCAGGCCCATCCTTGGCCCAACGGCGGCGCATAGGCCTCCTAGCCATGGGAGCGTGTGCATCGCTCACGGGCCCAGTATGGGCCCAGTGCGGCGGCGACCTGTCGATCCTCTGCCGCAGTGCTGCGTTCGCGGCTGCCGATCATAGGAGGGAGGAGGAGGAGGGAGGAGGAGGGATGATGCTGATGGTGATGATGGTGATGGTGATGATGCTGATGATGCTGCTGATGATGGTGATGATCAGTATGATGGTGTTGGTGTTGATTATGCTGATGCTTGTGATGATGACGATTCTGCTGCTCATTATGATGATGACGCTACTGCTGCTGTTGATGATGATGCTGATGCTGATGATGCTGCTGTTGATGCTGATTATGACGCTGCTGCTGATGATGATGATGATCTTGACGATTTTGATGCTGATGAGGATTATGTTGCTGATTCTGATGATGCTGATGCTGACGAAGGTTTATGATGATTATGAGAATTCTGATGGTGATGATGATGAAGAAGCTGCTGATGATGCTGATGATGGTGATGCTGATGCTGATGATGGTGATTATGATGATGGTGGTGGTGGTGATGATGATGCTGATGAGGGTGGTGGTGCTGGTGGTGGTTGTTGGTGGTGATGATGATGCTGATGCGATGATGGTAAGGACGATGATGATGTTGATGATCTTGATGGTGATCATAACGCTGTTGATGATGATGATGATGATGATGATGATGATGATGATCCTGATGATTATGCTGATACTGGTGTTGGTGATGGTGGTGGTGGGTGGTGGTGGTGATGATGATTCTGATTATGCTGATGATGATGATGGTGATTCCGATGCCGATGATGCTGATGATGCTAATGATGATTAGGATGCTGCTGCTGCTGCTGCTCATAATGATGCTGCTGATGACGATCATGATGGTGGTGGTCGTGGTGATGATGCTGACGATGATGCTGATGTGATCATGATTATGATGATTATGATGGTGATGATGTGCTGGTGCTGCTGGTTATGATGATGGTGCTGGTGTGTGCTGGTGTTGTTGTAGGTGGTGGTGGGTGGTGGTGGTGCTGATGTGATGCTGCTGATGATGATGTTCATGTTGGTGATGTTATGATGATGGTGATGATGCTGATTATGATGATGATGATGATGGTGATGAGGATGCTGCTTCTGCTGATGATGATGATGATGATTATGATGGTGGTGTTGGTGGTGGGTGGTGGTGGTGGTGATGATGCTGATGACGATGATGCTGATGTGATGATGCTGATGCTGATGCTGCTGCTTTTGATCATGATGATTCTGATGATGCTGGTGTTGTTGGTGGTGGTGGGTGGTGGTGGTGGTAATGATGATGATGCTGATGCTGATGATGACGCTGATGTTGATGCTGCTAATGATGACGACGACGATGATGCTGATGATGATGATGCTGACGATTGTGGTGGTGGTGATGATGATGGCGATGATGACACGGAGGAGGACGAGGAGGAGGCGGAGGAGGAGCTGAGGGACCGAGAATCGACTACGGAGGTTCGAGCAGGTGTTTCGGCACTTGCGATCTTTGGGGCACAGTTCTCTGACTCGAACTGGCCAGGATGGATACCGGAAGGGGTCGGTGGACCAGAGGCAGACAAGTCGACATGTTGAAGGCAAGATCCCACGCCGCTCCCCACCCAGACCAAGGACAGCGAGGGGGTTTTGGTCAATTAGCCAATGGCGCTACCGACTACGGCCGAGCAGGGGGCTGTTCGGGCCAAGCTACCAGGTGGAGACTGTCACTGTGCGAAAGTGCTCGAACGACACCTCATTGAGGTTGCTAGGCGGGCTCTCGAGCTGTATGGGCCTACCGCCATGGCTGCCAGTCTAGCCGAGGCAGCATATCGAAGTGAAGCCAAAGTGGCCCATCTGCAGGCGGCCTTTGCCAGTTCCACGCACCAATCCCGGAAGAATTCCAGCGGGTGGTTTAATTGGAAGGGTGTTAATGGGGGGCGACTTACATGGGGGGTGAAGAACAGGTCCCGACGGGAGCCCCCTAAGGCTCCGTTTTGGCACCTGCTGGGGCCCTTCTCTTCACCCCGATGTGGGTCACCCTCCATTGCAACCCCCTCCCCTAACGTGGACTACCCACCTAATGTAACCTGGACCTCCGTTACACCGAGCCCATCCCGCTTGGAATGGGTGTGACACTTGCATCCTGGTGACACGCTTGTCTTGGTATGATGCTCTGGTTTGTGCGTGGGCCACTTCGCTGATTGCAGCATCCTTCATTGAGCGTGTTGTTCTCGCCTGCCTGTGCGAGGGTCAGGTTCGGTTAGGGATTTGCCACGCTCGGTCGGGGGGCTTGTACCACCCGCCCGATGTAAGGGTGGGCTTGCAAGACAGACCCCCGAGGCAGTCCTTGTGGCTCGAGACCTCTAGGGGGCCCTGCCTTTCTGCACAGCATCCACTGTCTGGGCGTTTCCCTGTGGCTCCACTTGTGCACAGCTGTTGAGACTGACATGTTTGATTTCGTGGCGCTCGTTCTTGGCCGCCGGCAGTGCCGATCAGAAAGAAAGAACTAGAGGAGGAGGAGGAGGAGGAGGAGGAGGAGGAGGAGGAGGAGGAGGAGGGAGGAGGGAGGGAAGAGGAGGAGGAGAAGGAGGCCCAGTGTAAACCCAATAATCATCAACGATATTACAATAAACCCTCTCTCCAAGTGCCCTCTTCATAGGCTTCTACATGTTTTTTGCACTGAGATAAATGCCTCGTTGGAAGACAGCAGTTTGAAAATCTAAAGTTGTGTCAGAACGCCATTTCTGGGACTCTAATGCCATGAATCGATGTTACTGTTGCGTCTTGACGATCCCGAAGCGTGCCCGAACACCAGTCTTGGAACTGTAACACCACGAATCAACGTGACCGATGTGCCTTGACATTCCGACATCGTGCAAACGCACCATTACGAGTGTCCGCGGCGCGGAGGCGAGCCACATTTTGAAAAGGAACCGCTCTCCATCCGTGAAGCTCTTGCAAACTTGAAACATGAATGTGCGCGGCGCTGAGGCGAGAGCCACATTTTGAAAGCGGACCGCCCTCCATCCGTGAGACTCAGGCGAACTTTTAAAACGAATGTGCGCCGGCGCTACGGCGAGAGCCTTATTTTGAAGCGTCAGGATCATAGAGGAAGTCTCAGGCGAAGCGCACAGCACGCCCTTTCGACTGGCCTCGGGGTGCGACAGGGAGGAGTTGAAGGAGAAGGAATGGAAGAGCAGGAGGAAGAGGATGCGGAGGAGGAAGAGAAGGAGGAGAAGGAGGAGGAGGAGGAGGACCCGGCGACCAATGCTCACTGGTCGCGGCCGCGAGACCGCGCCGCAGGACGCGTGCGAGTGGCTGGGCTACTGCCCGCCCGACAAGGGCGCGGGCAAGGGCGGCAAGGCGCCCCGCGCCGACCTTTGAAGAGGCCCAGGCGGCAAGGTCAGCGTCGTCAGACCTATCCTCGGCGGTGGGCGAGGGGGGGAAGCGAGAAGGGGAGGGCCTTCTCAGAAGGCGGCGGGACCTCTCACAAGCCCTCATGCCTTCTTGGAAGTTTTTTGGTGTCTTCGGGGAAGGCGCAGGAAACTTCTCGGAAGGCTGGGGGACCTCCGAGCCTTCTGAGAAGGCACGCCAGAAGGCACGCCCCTTCTCTTTTACCCCCCGCGCTCGCCGCCATCCCCAGAATTCCTTGCGCCGTGGACAGATCAATCGACTGGAGGTTTGGCCGCCTCCACTCCTGGCGAAGGTCTTCAAGCAGAGAGTGCCCTCCCTCTTTCTCCCGCCTTCCGCGGCCGCCCCCGGGCCCCTTCTCCTCCTCTCTTGCGGCCGGGCAGCTGTGCGTGCCCGAGCCCGGCCTCCTCGAGCGCGCTTGCGGATCGCTTCTGCCGCGCTGCGACGTAGAATAGGTTCGGCCCGCTTCCGGCTTCCAGAGGGGCTCTCACCGGGCCCCAGGGCGTCAACAACGGCTCAGGATGGAAAGACAGTCCCAAGGAAAACGGTCCAGTGCTCCAAGGGTCCACGTCGTGAACAAAAGCAGGAGGTCGGAGTTCTGGGGCTGGTCGGCAAATTCAGCATCATCAGACTTATCCCCACCACCAGGGAAGCCTTGGCCCCGCTGGCCGATTCTACATTCAAACAGCGCTTGCACTGAAGGTTTCGCATTTCTCCTCTAAGGAACTGGGCCAGTGTGGCGGTCTGGCGGCTATGTTGTCGCCGTCACCGCCCCGTCGCCGCCTCGTCGCCACCTCTCTTTTGGGCAGTTGTGGCAGTCTGGCGGGTCTGGTATCACCGTCGCCGCCCTTTCGCCGCCATCGCTGCTCGTCGCCACCATCGCTGCTCGTCGTCGCCTCAGATTGCACAACATAGGTGTCACAGCATTGATTGTCTCGCATAAAGTGCACAGCATATCTTGCTCCACAGATGTTGGATCATATATTCCACCACAGAGATTGCACAACGGAGATAACACCACATATATTACACCCCATAGATTGCATGCACCACATCGAGTGCAACACGCAGACTGCACCACATAGACTGCACTACATCGTTTGAACCACATGGACGGGACAACATAGATTGCACAACAGTTACCGCATCACATATATTGTACTACACCGGTTCATCCACTTAAATTGTTCTTCAGCGCTTTACTGCACAAACCAAGGGGTCGAGTGCGGGCTTGCCTATTGCAGGTTGGTCTTGGCGTGACTCCGTATTTGCTTGCTGCAATCTGGTGGCACAGTCGATGCAGGCGAGCGCGGATTCGGGTTACCAAGATTTATCCATGCACCTCACACAACATATATTGATCCGCATATCTTACCAACATAGATCGCATTATATAACCTGCACAACAGCGATTGCGTCAGATAGAGTGAACAGCAGATATTGTACACCACACTGCGCACAATTTAGATTGCACCATGTACCTAAGTATTGTTCTAGACCGGTTGCAACACACACAGTGCACCACCCATATGACACATCATATATTGCACAACGCAACATCGATTCCACTACGTTTTTCGTTCCACATACTTCTACATGAAGGTTTTACCGGTTAAAGGGGACTAGGATCTACCCCCTGGTCTTCTCAGTGCCCCTCGGGGTGTGCAACTTACGTATGGCTCCGCCCCCGTGTTCCGTCTAAATAAATGAATTTGTGCCATGCCCGCCAGGCTGGCATCGACCTCCACCTCATCGATTATTTTAGTAATGCTATATGTGCGAATTCGATTATAAAACTTATCAACTTGCAAAAGTCCCTTGCAACACGTGGCACGAAGTGCGCACGCGTGCGTCGTCGCGCGCGCATGCCGAAACCCGTCAGAATTTTTAGGTTCCAGGAGGATTTCAAGATCGAGTGTCCCGAATACATGTTCAACGCCAATATCTTTGCAACATGATGCGTCAAACATGTCTGCGCACGCGCTCTCGCGAACTCACCAGTTTTTTGTGTTTTTCAACATGTTGGTCGGAGGCGACCAAGCGGACCTCTCGCGTGCGCGCGCATGCCGAAATCATTCGAATGCTCTTGCGCGCGCGCGGGGGGGGCACGATTCTTTGCAAATCGTACACTGCGGATCACGCGCGCTCGTCGGCCGCGCGCGCATGTCGAAATCCTCCAAAAATTTTATCGCCGACTCGTGGACACCGTCATCGTGATTGGTGTGATCAGCATCGGTGCCGTTATATGGCCTTGCCGTCGTCATCGCCGCCGTCGTCACCAGCATCGCTACATTTTTATCATCGTGTCTACCTTTTTCGACGTCGCCATGATACTGCATCCGCCCGAGTCACCGATTCGCTCTGAAGCGCCCGCGCGTCAGCACGGCCTGCGAAACGTGCTGGGATGTCCCTAGCGGTCAGCGCCACCGCGGCCGCGTTGGTCGCGTCAGCCTAGCTGGCCGCACTGCGTGCGAACCTGCACGCGTTAGTGCGACCGCGGCGATGCGCCAGCGCCAGCCAGCGCCAAGCTGTCATCGCAATCGCCGCCGCCGCCGCTAAGCAAGTTGCGGGTGGGTGGGTGGGATGATTGCGCGGGCAGTAGAGCTGTCATCTTCAAGTTCGGCAGAGTGAATGTTCCCTTCTAAAAAGGAATCGGATCTACCACCCTCCCGGGATTACCGACCTCCCCGGGCACATGCAATTTAAAAATGATCTTGCCCCATCGTTCATTCCAACTATCAATTTGTACGATCCCAGCCAGGCCAGTACCGAACCCCCTTAGCCCCGTGCAGAAAAATTACGCGCGCGCACTTGTTCTTCACAACTCATCAGTGGGACGATAAGCACACGCGCGCGGTGTCGCGCACATTCCGAAATCTGTCAAACACCGCAGGTTTTGCAAGGAACTCAACATCTAGTGTCCCAGAAGCATATGCAACCACATTGTTTTGCAACTCCATTTTCCAACGATGTCTGTGCGTGCTGCTTCGAATTCTTAAGAGCACCACTGTTGCTGCAACATTATTTACACTCACTTGCGACCAGCCCAGATTTTCGCGCGCGCTTTCCGAAATCAGCTGGACGCCCTGGCGCGCGTGCTGGGGGCCTGCGATCCTTTTCAAATCGTACCATGCGGGCCACTCGTACCTGTCGGCTGCGAGCATGTCGAAATCTTCCCAAAATTTTACCACCGACGCGTTGACACCATCATCGTTATTGGTGTGATCAGCATCGGTGCCGTTATATGGCCTTGCCGTCGTCATCATTGCCGTCGCCACCGGCATCGGTACACTGATCATCGTGTCAGCCGTTGTCGACGTCACCATGACACCGCGCCCGCCCGAGTTACCGACTCGCACCGAGGTGCCCGCGCGTCAGCGCGGTCTGCGAAACGCGCTAGGGGGTGTCCAAAGATTCGTGCCACCGCGGCCGCGTTGATCGCGCCAGAGTAACTGGCCGCTGTGCGCGCGAGCCTTCGCGCGCTAGCGCGGCCATCGCGATGCGCCAGCTAGCGCCGAGCTGTCATCGCAATCGCCGCCGGCGGTTTTGCAAACCAAGTTGCGGGTGGGTGGGTGGGTGGGATGATTGCACGGGAAGTGAAGTTGACAATTCAAAATCATTGATTGCACCACGCATATTGGCACCGCGTAGAGATACACAGTTTGGGGCCCACGTTGGCTACCGTGCGTATTCCTAATATAGCATGTATGCAAATAGGCTGAAGGGAATTTCCCCCCGGGCGCCCATGCGCGCGTCTGCGCGCATGGGGGGGACCATATGTACAACTATACACTTTTTGAAGGCGCCTGCGCCGAACAACGACCGCCGCCACCTGCTTTTTGGATGTGCCTGTGTGGCCAAGTGTTGGGCCTAAGTTCTTACCGGTCTATTGCACTATGCGTTCCCCGAGTCGTTGTGGAAACATGCTTTCGGGAACGCTTGGGAGAAAAAATGCGATGGGGCATGTTGAGGGCCTTTCGCAGCCTCCTGAGGGCTTGATAGGGGGTGTCTGGGGGGCCGCTGGGGATCTATGAGGGGCCGCTTGTCTTTGAAGGCCGTGCTGGGGCTTTCTTGGGACACTTTCGTGCCGTCTTGGAGGTCTGTGGGGCCGTCTTGGGATCCTCCTGGGGTCTCCATTTTCGGGGCCATTTTGGCCGTCTTGGGACTGTTGTCCAGTCCCTGGGCCCTCTTTGGGGCTCCTGGGACCGTCCTGGCGATATCTTGGGAGCCGTCTTGGGCCGTCGGGAACCCGAGAAGGCGAGAAAAGCGACAATTTGTCAAACATACGAATGGCATTCAATATGTTTATGCTTTCGGGGGTGCTGCTTGAGGACCTCTGGGGGCAACTTGCAGCACCTCTGGGGCCATCTTGGGCTCTCTTGGGATCATCTTGGACTTCTTGGATGTGTCGTGGGGCCGTCTTGGACGCAGTCTTGGTCCATCTTGGCCGTCTTGGAAGACGATTTTCCTGACGTGAGGTTTCCGCGTGGCCAGCCCGATCGGCCGAGGCCCCATTGGGAACCTTTTGGAAGGGCTCCAACGGATAACATCTGGCACGCCGACAGCCCTTCTCGCAACAGAGGGCGGCGGATCTAGTGGCCTTCGGCCCGTCCGTACCCATTTTGGTTCAAGGGAGTGGCCCTTGAGTTGATTGTAAGACTGCACCAGCGACGCTGCACCATCGTGCAGCATTCCTATCCGCTTTCGACTTCAGCAGTCCGTATGCCGGCATGGAGCACGCACAACCGCGCAGGCGGTGGCGGTTCTGGTGGCAGTGGCTCGGGCTCGGCGTCCTCGGGGAACTCGCACGCGTGGAAGAAGGACCCGTTGGGCCGCTGGCACGACATCGCGATGCCGCTGCCCTCATCGGCCCAGCCCCCCAGGGCCCACCGCCCATGGACATGCAAGGGCTGCGGCAGCACGAAACACACTCGGACCGCGTGTGGCACGTG